TCGATGCTGGACTCTCCTGCTCCTGCTCCTGCTCCTTCTCTGTTCTGCATCCTTTCTTTTCACGTTCACAGTTCTTCCGACGTCCAATGGTCCGTGTACAACTTACATTTCGTACTCTCATTCTTTGTGCAACGTATGAAGCGATCAATCAAAAATGCAAACCACAAAGCGTTCGATCCCCTTTCTCTCCCGATTCAAAGAAGACAAAATAGTTTATGAGCGTTTGATGTGAGCAATGTGATAAACTGTGGCCCCTGGCCTCGTTCCTTTGTATGCATAAACGCACAGGATGGATGTATCCTCCATGGGCCCCGATCATAACGAATGTCACCGCCATGATGTACAGTTTGTTAGAATTTGAATTGTGCAAAGCGCATCGTAAATTGTCGCTGCGGATCGGATCTCTGGATCGGATCCCCAATGCCCAAAGGAGCCCACTGATGGGGGTATTAGATTTGGTTTATTTAAACCTACATACATATATGTAGACCTATTGCCGATCCATCGATCGATCGATCCATCGATTGGATGACACAATTATCGGTTAGAGCTAAAGTCCAATGCAATGTAAACCACTTGGTTATGCAAATATAAAACGATATGTACATATATACCTGGGCTAGAGATAGTGCTGGAGCAGAAGAGAGATATCTCTTGATAAATTTAAAATAGGATTGGAGATAATCGCACCCACGCTTGCGGCATTCCAAAATTCACTTGAACAAGACACATACGACGATAGATCGGGTGTTTGAGGAAGATTTGGCGCGAGTTTTACGAGTTTTATGATCCCAACTTTGGGCCTGATATCGGGGTTCGAGGTGGCCCGACTTCGGCGGAACTGTTTGTTTGTTTGTTTCTCATTTTGTGTAAATACATACATATATGGTGTATATATCGGGAACCGGTTAAGTGACGACTCTGCGTGGGTGTTGTGAACTTGCATAACTGTGTCACCATATTCGGTCGATGTCGCACTCCACTCCACTGGCTGTGTCAATACACAAGGCGACTCCGGGTGGGAGTCGCGGCGAGTCAACATTTGCCGAGTGTGCCGTCCCGATCAATACGGAGCTGGAACAGGGCAAAATTTAAATCAATAATTCCGCGATAAGGCTTCACCTCACTCTCTACGGGATCCCTTCGCCTTCCACTCCGTCCTCCTCCTGCTCCGAGACACACGTCATTATCATTAGGGTCCCGTGCCATATATCACAGTGACTCCTTCTCCTTCTCCTCCTCTGATGGATACTACGAGTACATCTCGCCCGCACCTAAATTATGGCATCCCGAATCTACATAGTGCAAATAGCCGGCAGCTCCTTGGGGCCATGGACAATGATTGGTTGTGGCTGCAGATGGATGCTGTCCAGCAGCAGCAGGAGTTCCGAGAAGGTGTGCGACTGGACACACTTCCAGTGTTTGTATCTGGCCATCTCTAATGCAGCTGGCCACAGAAAGTTAATTGAAATGGATGATCCATACCGTATTCTGTATTTTGGGGATAGTACAGTGGAGCAAAATGAAGAGAAAACCATCCACAATATGCTTCTAATATCATATTTCTAGTTCACATCACTCTCTATCTCTCAGTCTCACCCGAAATCGAATCCTCTGACCTCTGGCTGTTGATTTTATTCCTCCTCATTCATGACGCCCCACGCCCACTGTGCCGCCCCTTTTGTCCGATTATATAGAGCTATAGCCATGCGTATATATATATGTTATGTGGATGAAGTCGGCACACAGCATGTAGTCAGTCGCCTGGAGCTAGATGAAGTACATCATCCAGGTTTCGGCTCCGAAAGATCAGTCTATCATCATCATCGATGCTGGATGCTGGCTGGTGGCTGGTGGTTGCGGGACAGCAGTTTAAACTCTGTCAGACAGTTTGTAAACAGTTTTCGAAACGAAAGCATAGCGATAAAGGCCACATGCCCCACCATCTCCTATCCCAAAACAGGCTTTAAGCCAAAGACACGTCGACTTAGATGATGCTGATGTCTGTGATGGCTGCGGGGATGCCAGGCTAAGGCTGAGGCTGTCTGGGATGGTCCATTTCAGAAAACTGTGTCCGACATTTGCACCATTATAACTTTATCGCTTTTGGACTGATTGTTGGCCGCATGACGGGGTCGGTGGATGCCCGTCATCGTGTCGGATCTGCGCAGTCAGAGTGAGTGATGTACCTGCTGCCAGAATGCTGATGATCATGAAGGCTTAATAGCATTAGGCCCGGCTCTGGCTGCCGCTCGAGGGATGTCAATAAAAATTACCCACTGTGCCACGTCGGGTCCATCCTGAGTCCATCCTGGGTCCATCTCCATGGCTTATGGCTGTGTGTCTTGTGCCCTTGTCGGCTTTTATCTGCCCTGCGACTATCGATCTATAATATCCAATCTGGAAAGCTACTTGTAATTGCTCGCTGCGGCTGCTGTGCGGATTATTATTAACTGGGATGGCTTTGCATTTGGCCAAAGTCAAAGCTGAAGCCGAAGCCGAAGCTGGAGCTGGAGCTGGAGCCAAGGCGCAGCTCTTTAAAAAACCATTTCAACTTACAAGCTTGTTAAGCTTGCCCCAAATCTCCTTCACCATTGGGGGCATGCCGTTTAATGCAATTTCACGTCGCTTTTTATCGCCGCCTAAGTAGCCACTAAACGGCAGCTCTTTAATCTCAACGACTTGGCGCGAATTCCCAAAAACAAAAGCAAAAAAAAGCTGGGAGTACTTCCCTCGAAATGAATATGAACTTTCTTCGGGACTGACGAGCCCAGTTTGGGGCTCGCCCACCTTGTTAAGCGCTAAGGACACGGAGGAAGGAACTGGTCTTAACGAGGCGCACACTTGCCGGAGTCGGAGAGCGGCTTCGATCTGCAATCGATCGATCGATGGATGTATGGATGGATGGATGGATGGAGCCTGGAAAGGCCTGGGATTTATTTTTAGTTAACGCTAAATTGAACCGTGGCCGGATCGAACAGTTCGGCGGTTCGGCAGTTCGGTTAGTAATTGCGGATTAAATGCATCCATCGGGGTCCATCATCATCATCATCGCAGATCTCGCGTACGCCGGGTGAATCTGATTAAGAATATTTCAATTAGCCGGGCTATGAGCCAGGGTGCCACCTTCGAATCCATCACCAGGCATCTTGACTTGACTTTCCCAGTGAACGTGGAAAGAAAGAAAGTTTCCGTACTTTGTAGCGTTTTCTTCTCCCTCAGATTTCTGTGTTTTTTGCATCTTGTGATTGATTCGATGGCGGGCTGCCTTTTTGGCATGCTAATTAAGTCACTTGACCGAAGGGTTGCTGATGGTAGATGCTCAACGAGGAGGCCACGATTAAGGGGGCGTTCTTGGTGCCTGGTCTCGGGACTGGCTTTGATCTGGGTAAACGATTTTAATTGATTAACTTTCCATTTAATCCACATCCTGTTGCATGTAGGATGCCCTTCGGCCGAGGGCCTTGCATCGGCTACTGTTGCTCCACCGATGATGATGATGATGATGATGGCTCCCATGCTGATCCATAGTTATATATCTGTCCCCGTTGATGAGACAGAATTATGCCATAAATGCCAAGGGTAAAGCCGGTCGGAATTTTGCTTAACTAAATCGTTGCTCGGTTGCACTTTCGTTAAGCTTCCAGGCATCAGCTCATCTCGTAATATCCTTACACGGTGCAAAAAGTAGAGGAGATCCTTGATTTTGATCACAAATACCTTTAGACTTAATAACCAAAACTAGTGTCTTTCTTATCAGTATCCTGCAAGATCCCGCTAAGAAAATGTGCATTAGTTTTAGGTTGAGCCAGCTGTGGGCGCTATGCATCTTATTGTTGCAAGGTTCAGGGGCTAACACCGCCTTTTTCTGGAAGTGCAGCTATGCCATACCATAATCCAGCGGCAATCCAGGGGCAATCAAGCCATCAAAATATAGCAGCAACCGAAAACACTTTCATTAAACTAAATTTTTATTGTGGCACCGCCACCACTCCAGAGACCGAATTTAAACTGGCGAATCGGCGTCATTTTCATTTATGGCCAGATCCCAGCAAGGCGACCATAAAGCTTTGACCCAGTTTCCACTGGCCGCTATCATATTCCCTTGACGGGACGGCAAGGCATGGCACTTGCAGTTGCAGTTGCAAGTTGGCTTTCGAGCAAAATTACTACAAATTACACAGTTTTTCGGGGCGCAAAAGTGTGCCGAATGCGTGACAGGAGCTGGAGCTGGAGACGGAGACGGAGTTGGGACTGTGGCAACTTTTCCTCCAGCCACAACAACTTTGCAATTAAGTTGGCCGATGCAGCAGATTAAAGTAAATAATATCTGATGTCCGCTGCTGCCTCACAATAACTCATAAACTGTAATCACTTAGGTCGCCGTGGCAGCAGGCCGTCCGCGAAACTAGTTATCCTTATCGATGTGCTCCACAATGAGGCCCCAATATAGTCCGGATCGCGTCGAATCGAATCGAATCGCTTCGAATGGAATCGAATCGAATCGAATAAGGTAACGAAGCGAAACGAAGCGAAGAGGTGCCAGCCGAATCCGCAGAGAAACACTCTTTATCGCCGTTATCCCCTTGATTTATCTCTCACTTGCAAGGGCCGCCCCGACCAGGCCCTACTTTTCCCGGTCATAATAAACAATTTCATAATTGCAATCGCTGGAGATAAAAAAAATTAAACTTGAAACAACAAAAAAAAAACTAGAAAGAAACTAGCTTCAGGAAGCGGAAGTCCGCATTCCGTACGGTGCCTTTAATATAGGACATAAAATTAATAAAAAAAACCTAGTTCTATATCATACAAATTTTAAAATTTAAACCAAAAACGTTTATATATTCTCAGAGTATCACATAGGAGATATTCAAAATCTCTGAAAGACCTTTCCAGGATATTACATTTTAAGTCTGAATCTTAAAAAGTTGTGAGTCAAAGAAAGAAATTCCATGATTTGAGGGTCTAGTATTTTTATTTGTTTTCAAATTAATAATTCAAATCAAACCAAATAGTGATTTATCTAAAAGAATGGATCATCGCTGGAGGATGAGGCATTGGAGAGGGCTTCTGAACCGGCAAAGCGAGCCATCTCGGTGAGCTCGGTGGGATTGATGAGATGGATTCCCTTGGTGGCCTCGCCCACAATGCCCATCTCGAAGAGGAAGTCCCTCTGTTGTCTGTCGAAGTGGCTTTTGTAAATAATCTCGCCGGCAGCCTTCACCAGCTCCTTGGTCTCCATGTTTGTCATATTATCCTGCCTATCGAATTCCCGCATGGCCTGCGGCTTCCCCCTGCCAATGGCGCAGGCGTAGTACTCCCGGTAGGAGCCGTCCGGATCGACCCGGAACAGCTGCGGTCCCGCATGGGCGTCCCACGAGGCCAAGATGGCGGATAGGCCGAGGGGACGGTGTATTCCATTCATGGTGTTGGCGTGGACGAAGCTGGCCACCCGCTCGCACAGGTCTTTGATCGGAATGCCGGCGTGCAATCGGAGCCGGTAATTGGCGGCTTCCTGGCGGGCGATTTCCGCCACAAAGTGGCCATCGGGCGTGAAGCCAGCCATGGCCATGCCAATGTTCCTCTCGAGGGTGAGGATGCGTCCGTCGGCGTCCGGCTCGTACAGGGAGCTCCTGATGATCTTGTCCACGGCCAGCACCACGGCGTCCTTGCCCCGGATCCCGATTGCGGTGAAGCTATTGCCCACCGCCCTGGTGGCGTACTCAACCTGCAGGACCCTTCCGTCCGGCGAGTATAACGCGGCCGAATTATCGTATTTGTTCATTTCGTTGATGCAACTCTCTGCTTTAATTCATTTATTAAACAAGGTAGACAGTAAGTTGAAAGAATTTACCTATTCCAGGTGCGATGTGAGTGACAGAAGAGTCTTGGCGTTAGTGATGCCTCTCCGTTTGTTGCTAGGAATTATTCGATTTCCCAATTAGCAACATTGGTTTATCGGTTTCGATAATCAAAGGTTGAGGTGAGACACTGAAAACAACAATTTTTACACACAAATTCCGCAGAGGTTAGTCGCAGAGCTTTGCTAAATAGTTGCAGAACGTATTTACATTTAATTTGCATATTTTGATGGAACACAACAGGCACAACACCAGCCACAGGCACACATGCTTTTGCGCATGCGCAGCCGATTGAAGCAGCCAATGAATAAGAATAAGGACTGAGAGAATGTTCGTTCAACTTCAGACGAAATGCGTTAATTTTATTTAACCCAAGGCTTGCACTAACATTTCTCCCCGGTCGTTGTTTCGATTGAAAACAAAAGGAAGTGCGACACAGACAACAAGTTGCAGATGTGCGAAGCGACAAAGCTGTTATGAAAGATTATTTCGTGTGTCCTTTGGCTTTCGGCTTTCGACGCGACTCTCTTGTCTTGCGGGGACTTATCGATATGCCGATAAGCGAGGGCTGTTGCTGTTTAAATGCGTATTGATAATCATTAGTTAAGTTGTTAACTGATTCCGTTTAGAGATTTGTCAGCGGGACAACACAACACAGCGGCCGGCCTGTGAAATATTTTAATGTGATTTATCTGCCCGGCTAACACAGCCAACAACTGAAACGGATCGAAACACAACGAAACGAGGCACAGGGACATGGCCAATTGCCGATTGGAGATTCCCGATTGCCGATATCCAATCAGCCATAAATCAAGCGCAGCTTTTGCCGGCTAATGAGACAGATTGCCTTATTCTCCGGGTCAAATGCCGGTGGTCCACTCTGCTCTGCTCTGCTCCTCGATAAAGCATCAGGATCCGGCTATCGATCCTCGACGCAATTGCTACAAATGATATTTTATTGGTATTTGATGAGCATCGGCGTGCAATTGTCGGGTCAATAAATCTAAAGCCCAAGATATCGTGGGCTATCGGGCGTATACGCGCTCATTAGAGAGAGCAATCTTCTTGGGGGTGTGCACTGCGAAAAAAGAACAAGCATATAGTAATTTTTTATTTCGTACTGGACAATAGAATAGGGGATAGTTAGATAGGATCATTTCAAAGTGCCTTATATAAATGACATTTTTGTCAGCTTAATAATATTAATTCTAAAAGGATCCCTAGGATGGACCTTCACCCATTGAAAATCTAATAGTTAACAATATTTGTATACTCAAAAATTAAATGAATTATCGAACTGGTAAAAGAATAAGACAATCTCATATAACTGAGAAATCATGCAATCTTTGAAACTTCAAGAATCTTTATTATTGTTCTGATAGAATAATCCGTATTACTATTTTTAAGTAGTTTCACGATTAAATTAAATATATTCAATTGTTTCAAGTATTATTTTCGTGTGTTTTAAACTATTATTTATATTCCTAACTTTATTTCCAGTGTACACTGATCGGTAGTCGTGATCTGGATGGGAATTCGACCACCGAGGGAGCTCCGTGTGGGAGAACGGTGAGTCCTAATCCCGGTTAAAGCACAAAAAATAACATCACATAAATAATACGCTTATTGAGTTCCAATTCACTTCATTTTCTGTTTGAGTTTGAGTTCCAATTTCGGTACGAGATGTTGTTGTTTTTACGAGCCCTCTTCCCTCTTCCCTTTGCTCTTTGTTTTTTATTTTTATTTTTATTTTTTTCACAATAAATCACGCGACAGGCCAATTAGGTCCGCACAATTTGCGATCTCTGATCCCCGAGGAGCTCAAAAAAATAAAAAGAGCTAAAAACATTGGCTCAGAGACTGGCCTCCCCTCAGACGAAGTGCGTCCAAACTTCAATTGCAACTCAATTAGGTCAGTTTGTGCGTGTGTGTGGAGCGACCAGACTTAATCCCCAGTATATTTTTACACAAACTTGATAGTAAACGAAGTGTTTATCTATAGCCTTTACTATCTACTTGAGTAATGAGTCGTGATTCACATGCGGCCCCCAAAGAAATCGATAAACTGAAGAAAAATAGCTCCAGAAATTGATTGAAATTTGCTTTCTGCAGTTTCGAATGAAAAACAAAGTAAGCTTCGAGGTTTTTGGATTTATTTCAATTTCGTGTTCTTCCTAATTAAAAAAAAAAAAAGATTTATAAACTATTTAAGTACTTTCCTACCACCAAAGACCCGCCATAAAGGCCATAACCAAGGCCAGGATCTTCCACAGACCGATTTGTGATAGGGAAAAGGCACCATTGACCGGAGCGAATCCTAGTCGCTGGTTTCCCACATCGAACTCCGTGTAGAATCGTCCTAGGAACACATCGCCCATAATCCAAAAGTTCTGGTTAATGGACTGAATGAGTAACTGGCACTCGCTACCATCCCGCTCGACATAGTAGCTGGCCGGGATCCTAAATTCCACGGCTTGGATGTTGATAACCAGGTCGGGCATGGACTTTGTCGAAGTGCAATAGAACACACCATTCGAGTCGGCCGAGAAGATGGCGGCAATGGTGTCGAAATCCGCCTGGGGGGCAATAATCAGGGAGGTTCCCGTATCCGCAATCGCCGCATCGCCCACACTGACCACCGTGCTTCCGATCTTAATGGAGTCCGTGATGAACTGCCAGTAGGCCGGCTGGCTCACCGGGACGTAGGTGAGGCCGCCGCGGTAGAGCGACGGATCCGATCCGCCCAGGATGAGCTCGCCGCCGTAGTTGACGGTGGAGCCGTTGTCCCGCAAGTAGAACGAGAACACGGGGTTCGCCACCAGGCCCTGGTTGATCATGTTCTGGAAGACGGGAACGACACCGTCCGCCGCCAGGGCCGGGAAGCCCATGCCCAAGATGCCATCGAACAGGGCGTCCACGAAGTTCGTGCCGATCTCGGTGTACACCTGTCCGAACTTCTGGCTGGCCACCGTCAGGCCGCCCACGGAGACGGAGTCCACGGCGAGGTAGCCGGAGACACTGCCCGTTCCGTAGGTGATCGAGAAGTAGGTTCCGTTCGCCTGGTACGAGCTGGAGGCGGTCTGGTTGTACGTCTGATGGTCGGCACAGCCCGCGCTCGTGCAGCTTGTGCTCGGGATCCAGAGGTTCGAGGAGCCCGTGTCGAACTGCACCATGAAGTACTGCGGCGGAGTGCCGATGCTGATGTTCCCGTAATACTGGTAGTTGTCGAAGTTCGACAGCGGTTCCACCGGGTATCCGTTGGCCTTTTGGCTCAGGCTCTGGGTCTTGTTCTGGCCATACTTGGTCTGGACCAAGTCCCTCTCCGCCACAACTGCCTTCTGGCTGCGCTTGAAGTTCGCCGATCGGTGGATCGCAATCCGGTGCAATCTGGCCACCTTGGACGCCTCACTGGCCGCCAGGAGCACGGTGAGGGTCAGGGCCAGGAGGGCCAGAGCTGAGAAGTGAAAAGACATGACCACCGGAGCGAGTGTCAAGCGCAACTAACTGCCATTTCACTATCAGAGTGTGTTCTTATAAAAAAAAAGCATATACATATATATGTACATATATACATATATATAAAGCTAGCTTATCGATAACGATAACAGCCGGCGTGCATGATTCCAAAATCAATGTACAAGGTATTTTGTATTGTTCTAGAATATCAAGAAAATCTACAACTTTACCGCCTTTTAACTTATTTTCTACTATTTTAAATTATTTTAGATGATTGGTTTTAGTATTATGAAAATCCGAAGACTGTATCACATAGCTCTTGAAAATTAGAACGAAAGAATAATAGCATAGCTGTTTTGCCCATTCTCGTATAAAGGTATTCAAAAATATCGAGCCAAAAAATTTAAATAATTTATAGTCTTTCCAGGGTATTATTATTTCAACCAGAAGCTTATAGCACTGTGAAGGAATCATTTCCGACCCCATAAACCATATATATTCTTGATCAGCACAAACAGGCGAATCTTTCTGCGTACAAAAAAAAAAGAAACACATTTTTTGGCCATTTTTTCAGAAAACTTAAGGGGTTACATCATTAAAAATTGCAAAAATTTATAAAAATTTAAATTTTTGTACATTTTTAACTGAGTATGCAGATTTATTAACCTTTTCGAAACTAGCTCAGAACTGGCTTCCGTATCGAAATTGAGGCGTTTTTGGCATAGTTATGAATTCTTTAAGCTTAGGTTTCTATAGATAAATATTCATTAAATAATGCAAATATTTTTAATTTATATAGGATTAATTTCCGATTCTACATTTCCTAAAATACAATTGCAAATTGCAAGAGTATTCAATAATTGGTGTGTGGACATTTGTATGTTAATGTTTCTTATTTGGTAGTTTATCCATTTCCTCCTAAGATATATATTTTATAATATTCCTTACTCACCGCGATAAGAGGGGTCTTAACTTGTCTTACCTGTGTGTTATCAACAGAAATCAATGAATCAGTGTGTACCTTAATCGATAGAAAAATCACCTTAAGTTAATCCTTGATTAAGAGTTCAAGGAAATGACGAAGGTGAACTTCAATTGGTGCTCCTTGGATACCGAAAACCTACATTTGGATGACGCCGCATGCGTCATTTACATACTTATCTCACTCAATCAATCATTCATTGGAAGTGAATAAGTCACAGAACTCAAGATAGTTGCTGATAGTTGAGTAACCACAGGTTTGGGTGGAAAGAGTTTCTAGTTTATATGTATTCATTTTTTAAAAAAAATATTGCTTTGAGGAAAATAAAGGAAGGAAAAGTCGTATTCAAATGGAAAACACTTCCTGTCCGTTGTATTCGATACGGAATGCCTGTTTAAAAATGTTAATTAACCTGCCTGTCGTCCCATTTGGCCAATGGAGATGTCATCCCGCATCGACTGTGTGGGAATATCCATGGATTTGACCCGGACCAGACCCACCAAGATGTTTGGTGGATGAATGAAACAAAGAGTTATTGTTTTTAATGTATGCATAGAAAGGTCGTAGGGACCACAGGACCCAGAGCATCCTCAGTGTCCGCAGGAGCCTCAGTACCCTCAGTACCCTCGGGGGTGTCGGCCACTTGATGAGCCGTGACCTAATGTTGCACTACACACAATGGGCCATGATGAGGTCGCTTTGTCGCCCGTGCGGCAGTGTCAACTCGGATTGGATGCGCTACCAATGGGGTACGGATTCATGTGCTACATCCACCGAAAGGTGCTCTGCGTGGGCGCTCAAGTCAAACAAATTGAGAATTTATCACCCGAAGCGAAAGGCACCGCACACCATACCCAGAAACCAAGAAAAAGCAAGAGGAATAGGCATCGATGATCACTTTTGGCTGATGCATAAAATGCATTTTTTACACTCCCGAATGCACTGGACCATTCGCAAATTGATTTTGATTTGCCCGAATGTCACACGAAGAATAGCCATGCATACATATATATATATATTCAGGATTCAGGATCCTGGATCCAGGATCCAGGAGCGGTCTTTTCTCTGCATTCTCTTCTGTATTCTATCCAATTTCAAAGGAGTTTCACACGCAAATGCCGCCCGAAGAAGCTCGTGGAAGGCATTGGCCTGCTGTGAACTGGAGCCACACTGAGAGAAATGGAGCTTTTCATAATGCCAAGCATTTGAATGATTAATAAATGGTTTAGATTTCATCTATTACATCTAGTATGTAGGGAATACTTTTGGTTTTTGCTGAAAAGTGAGTCAAAAGAGAACCCTGTTAATAGTAATCGGGGGGATTTATTAATTATCGTACAAAGTTAATGGATTTTTGCCAAGTGGAGGAGAGTTCTCTGGCTATGGCCGGAGATATATATCTTGGGCTTGCTATGCTATATGGCCCTCGGCCCTTGGGGCGCTGCGTTTTAACTTCAATTTCATTTCGCGCTGATCGATTTTTGCACGCAAAGTGTGAGGGAGTCCCGTCCCCCTGCCTGGGCCTGGCTCAATGCCTCTGTACTTAGGCATTGAATTTATTGTGCAGTCCGATCAATATTTTATTGTTTTCGCAAAAACTTCTGCACCTCCTGGCTCCGGCTCTGGGTGCGTTATCAGTTCAGATGAACCGAGTCTCTCGGGTTCAGGCAGGCGGTCAGGCAGGCAGGCTTCTTCAAAGTGCCAAAGGGGAGTTCCCTTTTATTTCTGCTTATTTATTTTCCCTGGCTCTTTCTCGGCTTGTATCCATATCGGTTTCAGTTTTGGCCACATGCAAAACAATAATCGATGCCGGGGACTCGGAGTCATTCCATTTAAAAACGTGTTAAAGAGTGCCTCGGAATCGGTGGTCGAGCAGAGAGGGTGGAGGGTGGAGGATGAGGATGAGGGCCAAGATCACGCCCACACTTATTTTCACCGCCCTGGCTTATTTGATTTTGGATGCGTTCATATTCCACGCCCCGCGGCTGCACTTCATCCTCCGCCACGAATTTATGATGTGATTTCGATCATTTGACATAATCTATTTAGCGTCTGCTCTCGTGCTCCTCGGGATTCGGTTTCTGCTTTGGATTCAGATTCGAAGCTGGTCCCTGGTTCCTGGTTCTTCCCTGACTAACCTCAGCTCCCCGCATTGGGGGCATAATTTGTAATAAGATAATTTTATTTGCTTTGCCCAATGACTTGTGCTTGATTCTTTTGTTTTTGGAATAAAATCCGGGCTTCGAGGAGGGCGGAGGCGATGGATCCGCGGAGATATGCAAGTTGGTTGCTTATTTATGAGAGCTTCACTTCCTCAAGTCCTCTGAGGGAGTAATCTAAATGCATATATACAGGGAAATGAAAGTATCTAAAGGTTGAGGGATCTAAGGTAGAAAATAAAAATGAAACTAATAAGGACCCCTAATAATGAGTCATCCTTCCGACAATTAGTAAACTCTCTCTTCGTATCTGGAGAAATTTGTTCTCAGCGATAAGGGACACCTAAAAAAGGACACACGCAACCCTCAGCCAAGTCATAACTTTCGCTCAAGTGATCCTATCGGCCTCACATTTAATAGTGCCCAAGGATCCTCGGAGGAAGCTGCGCGTATCTTTTACGAGCCTAACTAATGTCCCCCGATTTAATGGCTTCACCTACCGCGGTGACATCTCTCCTGGCTCTTAACCCTTGCGGGATTGCTGCTACCAATTGCTAATACAGTAGCAACCAAAAACCAAAGAAAAGGAGTAGAGGAGTAAAAAGGGACACGCGCGGGACGAGAGCTCAAGAGCGATCTGTATCGGCGGGTTCTACTAATTAAGGACCTCCGCAGGACCCACCGCACACACTTTCCACATTCCACTTTCCTTACTTACAACTCCTGTGTAAGTTCTTTGCCCAGTTTTTCCATAAATGCAATGAGGAATATTCAAGAAAAATGTCACAGAAATATCTAAGAGAACTCTTAAAAGTAAAACTTAATTTAGAGTTTAATAAAAGGAATTAGAGATAATTTTGTGAGTTATTTATATTTGCAGAATATTATTATTTCAGTCTGAAGCTTGAAACGTTGTAAAGGAGCCCTTTCCGACCCTATGAACTATATATATTCTTGATCAGCACAAACAGGCGAATCTTTCTGGGTATAAAAAAGAGAAACAAATATTTTGGCCATATTTTCGAAAAAATTATAAAGGGTTACATCGTTAAAATTTGCAAAAATGGATAAAAATTTCATTTGTTTTACATTTTAAACTAAGTATGCAGATTATTTAACCTACTCAAAACTAGCACAGAACTGTCTTCCGTATCGAAATTTAGGCATTTTTGGCTTAGTTATGAATTTTTTAAGCTTTGATATATTAAAATAATTGTCATATCGATGAAAATAAATTCAACGAATGCGAATATTTTATTAAATTAGTTTTCTTTATTGGGATAAAAAGCATTAGAATTAGTAATGCATGTGTTTCTAAGATATAAGATTAAATTTCGTATATTATTACATTTCTATTAATCGATTTCACTCTTAATTATTAATTTATTCTATGCTCATTTACAAGATCTTTATCGTATATCGCTAATTGCTCACCTAATACCCTACATATGTAAATATTTCCCTCAGTGTACACTGGACCAACATTGTTTCCAACCAAATATGAGCAAATGAAATGTTTGATGGCTTACAATGTGGGTCAGAAGGGCCAAAAAAGGCCGGTTAATTCCAGTGCTGATAGTTACTAATTGTTTGTTATTAGCGTGCGGTTCTGTAACTGTATTTCTTTGTGGGATTTTTTCAGAGCTTTTCGGGGACTGAAGTTTATCCCGCGATCCCGGAGCAGATCGGAGCGGGATTACGCCCCATCGGTCCGTCAGCCAGCGCCACATTGATTGCAATCAAGGAGTCGTAGTTGGCCCAGAGAAGAAGCCTTGGCCAAGTCTGGAGCAGAAGCCGCAGCAGGTTGATCGATAGCCATCACTGGTCGCGATCTCGATGGCCAACTTGTTTTCAATTTTTGCCCTCGTAAAAGGTATTTCCATTCTCATATA